TGTTTGTTTTTAGATGTTTCATCTAGCTATCTTCCAAATATCGGCCTTTTATATTAAAAAATTTTGACCAGTGAATAGGGAGAACAACAAATTGTTACCTTTGAAAACCTAAAAAAATTATTAATAATATTGCTAGTATTAATAATGTCAGATCTTAATAAAACATTTATAGTCATAATAAATGTGTTAGATATAGCAATCAGGGTAGTATTGTCACAAATCCAAGAAAAGAACAAACAACCTATAGCATTCGAATCGCAAAAGTTAATGCTGGCAGAATTAAACTACCTATTCATGAAAAAGAATTGTTAGCAATTATACATACTTTTAAAATATAGCATATATATTTAGAAGATAGATGCTTTGAAATCATAATTGACTATACATCATTAGAATATTTGCAAACTTAAATGAAACTATCAAGAAGACAAACAAGATGGTTAAAAACCTTACAAGCCTATGACTTTACAATTAAGTATTGCCTGGGTAAAGCAAATATAGTAGCAGATGCTCTTTCTAGAAAACCTGAAGCAAATATAATTAGTTCGATTAGTATGGATATAGAAATTTATAAAGAAATTAAAGAAGAATATAAAGAAGATACATACCTAAAGAAAATGATTATGGCACTTGAAAATTCTATGGGTAATGAAGCGAAATAGTTGAAAAAACAACTAAATCATTATAAACTACAGAATGAATTGTTATTTCTGATAGAAAGTCCAGAAATTCAACAATTATATATCTAAAAAAATCAAAAATTCAAATATTATTGCTCAAAGAACATCATAATAAAAATAGGCATTTCAGTTTTAAAAAAACCTATGAATATATTAAACAAAATTACTATTAGAAAAGAATAAGCAAAGATATAAAAAATATGTACAGATATATGATAGTTGCTAGAGAAATAAGAGTCCTAATCAAGTGCTAGCAGAGTTGTTGCAACCTCTCGAAATACCAACCCAATCTTGAAAAATAATTTCAATAGATTTTATAACTCATCTTCCACGTACTAAGAGTAGAAATGATTCAATTTTAGTTATAGTAGATAAGTTAAGTAAAAAGGCAAGATTATTACTAACCAGAACAACCATAACAGCAATAGAAGTAGTCTAACTAGTGTTCTAAGAAATATTCAAACATTATGGCTTGCCCAAGAATATTATTTCTGATTATGACTCTAAATTCACAGGTATATTTTGGAAAGAACTCTTCAAATTAATGGGAACGAAATTGAAAATGTCAACATTAAACAGATAAACAAACTGAAAAAACTAACCATATGTTGGAAGAAATTTTACGTATTTATATTAATTGTCACAGCTGATTATGAAATCAGATTATTGTGAAATTTGGATCTATTTCATGTACGATTTTTAAATTTTTTTGGGCCTTTTTTGTAGGCTTTTTTTTTATAGTTAAGTTAGGATTTAGGGTTAGAGTTTTTAATAAAAGAGTATTGGTAGATTTTGGTAGGACCTATATTTTTAAATTGAGACCCCAAATTTCACAATAATCTGATTTCATAATTAGCCGCGATATTAATTATAAACAAGATAATTGGGAACAAATCTTGACTTTAGCAGAATTTGTATACAACAATACTTACTAAATATCAACAGGTTTTACTCTATTTCAACTAGATTATGGATGCTATCCATCTACTCCTAGTAGTATTAGTAAAAAAAAATATAATTACAAATATAAAGGCTGTAGATAAACTTTATCAATATTGGGCTACAATGTTAAGTATAGCTAGAGATATATTAATGGAAGCGCAAGAAAAGCAAAAAATATATGCAGACAAAAAAAGACATTTTTGTAAGCTAAAAGAGGGAGAGATGGTATTAGTAAATACAACAAATTTAATGATATTTAAAAATTTGAAAAGAATGTCAAAAAAGCTTACACTAAAATATATTGGTCTATTTGAAATTACGAAAATAATTTCTCCTACTGTTTATCAGGTACAATTGCCTAGTACCTTATATATTCATCCAGTATTCCATATATTATGCTTGAAGCCTTATCATCACAATGAATTTGAAGGAAGTAACATTTTACTACTGTCACTCTTGTTAATAAACCTGAACTTGGATATAGAATATGAAGTCGAAGTCATTTTGAATAAGAGAAGTTTTTATCGTCAAACACAATATCTAGTAAAATGAAAAGATTATCTATTATATGATTCTATATAGGAACTTCTTAAAAATCTTGGAAATTGTAAGTGGTTGGTCGATAACTTTGAAAGAAAATCAAAATTATCTTTAAGTAGTGAAGAGTAGTAATATACGTTTTGACTGTCCTGCCACTTTTTTGAAAATGTTCAAGATCTGAAATATTAATTTTAGCTTTAACTATTTAAAATATT